TTGTGATACATCATCATTTGAAATCATCCCTATTATCATATTGGGTATTAAGACATCCTATAATAAGGTCTTCTTAGATATATTTTGGGATGCCCCTACTAAAAGAAATTTCTAGCTTCGTCCTTGTCTGTACCTATAAGTAATATAAGGTACCTAAAGTTATGTACCAAAACTTACGTATTGATACTACCTATGAATAAAATAAGATACCGAATGTTATGTATAAATTGATTTTGTTTTGTTGTTGAATTTTTTTAATAATGAGAATTTAAATTTTGAATAATTTTTTATCCATTAATACGATTAGAGCACAAAATAAAAAAAAACATAATTATGGATGGGTAAAGAATTTTGAATGGTAATTTTATAAATAATAAATGTCCTATAATTACTTAACTATGGTAAGTTTTAAAAATAGGGACTTATATTAGATTTTTAAAACCATTCAGGTTAAAATCTAAAAACAATCTTATTGAAACCCTAAAATCTAAAAGCCCCATTTACAAATATAATAGTTAATTTAGACAATGTGTTTATGTTATAAATTGTACATGTACCAACAGAAAATCGAAATACCTGGCTTTGAGATTCCATCATAAAATCATTGGCAATTTAGGGAGTAGTTTAACTTACTTAATTATAAGCTCAGACAATGTCTTTCCTTCCATTAATGGGAGATTCATTCTCAACTCGCATCCTCACATTTTTTTTTTAATTTTTTTTTACAAATTTTCAAATTTAACACGTGGACAATACAAATGAGATGATATGGAGCGCATGTGATCGTTTGACTTCACATGTGGGACAACCTTCTTTGATACTATGAAGAAAGTTTAGGTTTCACATAAAACTAATTGGCAATATAGAAAGTAGCCCAACTTACTTATAAACCCATGTAATGTCCCTCCATTTATCAACCTGAAATTTATTCTCAACTTAATACTGAACCAACTCAACTGCTCTAATCACATTTGTTGAAAGGGATTAGCTTTGAGCCTTTTGAGTTAGAGGATTACCTTAGTAAGTGAGAAGAACTACACATCAGAGTAAGTCATCGTAATACTTCATCAGCCTTTTGTTTTTTTGTCCCGCACACCAAATCTGGAACTAAGCTTTGAGCCTTGATACATTGGGTGACAGCGGCAACTTTACTTGCATAAATCATCGGTCATCTCATCTCGTTCTCTGCACTTTGAAACAAGCCCACATTTTTCTCATCTCAATTTGTAGAACGGTCAAACTAATGAACACCAAATCTATACAAGGGGAGGTCAGCTTTTACTATTTGTAGGACAACATGAGATCGATGAACACAATTTGAGCACTGAAAAACACTTTCAAACGAGTCCAAAGGCTAAATATTGTTTATTTGAAAATTTGAGTTTAGCGTACTTTCTTTTTTCTGCGCACGTCTATTTATTTATGTCTGCATTTGTGATTTGTTCTTTTTTGATATTTTAAATCACGTATGCGTGTATAAGAGGAGGTTATTTGTGTGGAAACCACTGTTCTTATTCATATTTGACAAATGGCCTGCGCTGAAGTTGATGGGCCTATGGGCCACCACTCTTGGGCCTAGTGCAAGAATTGAGCCCAACCTTCTGCCATTGAATTTTTGGCCCAAACAAAACCCAAATTAGATAACGAGATCCAACTGTGCAAATGAAAAATGGAAATGTACCAATAACCAGACCGTCGATTTACCAGAAAATGCCTCCCCCGCCAAGTCAAAATTTACCGCCACCACGAGGCTCCGTCTCCCAGACAATCGCCACCGGTCTATCATCTGCTCTGCAACAATTCATCAATTCAGATAACCCTTCGCATGGCCGAAAGATCCATACCCGGATTCTCAAATCTGGGTTCCGACCCAATGTCAATATTTCCATCAAACTCCTTATACTCCACCTCAAATGTGGTTCATTGGCTTATGCACGCCAAGTGTTTGATGAATTGCCTGCACAGACTCTTTCCGCTTATAATTACTTGATCGGTGGATACCTCAAACGTGGGAAGGTAGAAGAATCGCTTAACTTGGTTCGGGGACTGGTTTTATCTGGTGAGAAGCTTGATGGGTATACGTTTTCGATGATCTTGAGAGCCTCTACTTGTGCTGGTGATGTCGCATTGCCGCATAGTTTAGGAAGAGTAGTGCATGGCCAGATGATTAGAACAGATGTTGCGCCTGATGAGGTACTTTATACTGCGCTCGTCGACTCATACGTTAAGAATGGGAAGGTCCGTTATGCGAGGACTGTGTTTGATATGATGTTGGAAAAGAATGTTATATGTTCTACATCGATGATTTCTGGGTACATGAATCAAGGATCTGTGGAAGATGCTGAAGATATATTTAGGAAAACGGTTGAAAAAGATGTGGTGGTATTTAACGCAATGATTGAAGGTTACAGCAAATCGGTTGAGTATGCTCGGAGATCACTTGACGTTTACATTGACATGCAACGGTTGAATTTCCAACCTAATCTCTCGACCTTTGCTAGTGTTATTGGAGCTTGCTCGGTGTTGGCATCGTTTGAAGTTGGCCAACAAATCCAAAGTCATCTTATGAAGACTGGATTGTTTTTGGACATAAAGATGGGAAGTGCTCTTATTGACATGTACTCAAAATGCGGAAGAGTTGAGGATGCTCGGAGAATTTTTGACCACATGCCCCAAAAAAATGTGTTTTCATGGACTTCAATGATCGATGGTTATGGGAAGAACGGATATCCTAACGAAGCACTTGAGTTCTTTAGCATAATGCAAAGGAAACACCAAATTGAACCCAATTTTGTCACATTCCTCAGTGCGTTATCAGCTTGCGGACATGCTGGGCTAGTTGACAAAGGCCTTGAGATCTTTGAAAGCATGGATAGGGACTACTCGTTGAAACCAAGGATGGAGCATTATGCTTGCATGGTTGATCTCTTGGGACGTGCAGGGAGTTTGCGTCAAGCGTGGGAGTTTGCAATGGGGATGCCCGAGAAGCCCAATTCCGATGTTTGGGCTGCTCTTCTTAGTTCAAGCACATTACATGGTGATGTTGGAATGGCAAATATAGCTGCCAAGGAATTTTTTAAGTTGAATCCTGATGGTCGGCCTGGGGCATATGTTGCATTCTCAAATACTTTAGCAGCCGCTGGGAAATGGGAAAGTGTAATTGAGCTTAGAGAGAAAATGAAGTCAAGCGGGATATCTAAAGACACCGCCTGTAGCTGGATTGGTACTGATAGTGGTTGATGAGCCTTCATATGGTTGAAGACAAGTTCGCTGCAACGACTAAAGAGAGCGGGCGATGTTGAAGCTGTAGGGGAGCCTGAAGATAAGCCTCCTAGCTCGGTTTTGAACCTGGCGAACAAATTAACGGGTGCTAACTCAGCCGGTGTATCATTGAGTTCACGCAAGCGGACTGCCCGGGCTTTCGGGGGAGAATAGAATGTTGCTCAATTGGACAAGCCAAAACCATGTTCAAAGGTAATTTTCTGTGGAAGGGGAATATTTGTCCACTCTCAAAGCAATAGTTAGCAGTCAGTAATTCAAGTTTTTTCACTCTCAAAGCTAAACCACAGAATGATTTGCTGATCAATAATTAAATAGTCACCTAATTGTATTTGTACATTAATAGGCTCTGTGATGTGACCATCAAAATGCCAATTTACGGAATCATTTGAAAGTGTTTTTAAAATAATTGAAAGCGTTTTTAAAGAAAATGTTTTTGGATTCTAAAAGCACTTAAAACGCTTCTTGCAACGGTAAGAAGCACCAGTTATGTGTTTCTTGAGGAAGACACTTTTCAGGATTCACTTGCATGTTTAAGGATTTATACTAAAAATATTTTCACCAAAAATATTTTTAACTATTTTAAAAATGTTTCTAGACGCTAATATCTTTCCACCCAGAACTCTGAGTTTCCTCATCCCAATATCGCTTGAAAAAAAAAAAGAAAAAAAAAACTCTTTAATACAGCAGAAAAATAATAGAGTTAAAACAGGTATTCGATTCTTTGAATGATTGTATTTGCAAAATAAAATGCATGTCCATGTGGAGGTTGGAGTCGGAAAAGGAGGCTCTCGTTGGTCAAGGAAAGTAGGAGAATGACCAGGGAATGTATTATTGGTTTGTTTCGCATATCACAAAGATGCTTTTTTTTTTTTTTTTTTTTATATTATTATTATTTTATTTTATTTTGCAAATCTCTCTGCGTATAAAACGAAAACAACATTTCTTTTTGGCCACCCGAGTTTGGTCAAAGTAAGTAAAGCAATGGGTTATACTCCATGAACTCAAGTTTGTTTTCTCCAACTTACTTAAAACGAATGAGAATCGAAATTATTTTAGATCTCGTTTACTATCAGTAATGAGAATGAAAAGAAAGATAATGTGTTCCCTTCATGACTTTTTTCGCGTTTATTTGCATATAACTCACAGTAAGATTACCAAAATTCGTAATGGAATAACACAATTTCAAAATTTTGTTTAAGTAGGAAGAGGTGTCAATCTAATTATCTTTCCTTACATTTTTGTCCATTTCAAAATTATCCGATTCTTTATTTTCGCATTACTGATAAGTGAACGAATCGAAAAAGTTAACTTCCTCTTAAAATACGTAATCAAATCCAATTTGCTTCTTATTTCTATGCCCTCATTGTAACATCTTAATGAAATAAAAAAAAAATACATGCAAGATAAACAAATCGTGTGGAGGAGCTGATCTTAACCGTTGTTATTGTGAATTCCATAAAAATAAACGACCAGGATGGGCTACACGCGGCAGACTTTTCCGAAAATATATAGGAATTCTTTGTGGATTAGGGTGTAAAGGCGGCAGCAGAATACAAGTCCTTGTTTAACTCCGTGAAATAGTATTACATATATACCCCAAATACCTATTCCTTAGTCATATCGTTTCCTACAATCGACAACAAACCAAACGAAGTTGCCTTCCCGTATCGCCTTCTACAACCTACCAACTATAAAGAAGTAGAAGAGAAACAAGAACAGCAGAAAAACAATCAATGAGCTGCTGCTGCGGAGACGATTGCGAATGCAGGCCGCTAGGGTTTCTCCTCGGCCTGCCCTTCGCCTTCGTCGCTCTCATCCTCTCCGTCATTGGCGTCGTCATCTGGATAGTCGGGTTGGCGTTGACTTGCATATGTCCGTGCTGCTTGTGCGTGACGATCATTGTTGAGTTTGCTCTGGCGTTGATCAAGCTTCCCTTTTCGATCATGAAGTGGTTCACATCGAAGATTCCTTGTTAATTACTATTTGTTTCGTAGCGTGTAATTTGATAGTGTTTTGTTCAGTTTGTTCCGACCACTGTTTAGTTCGATCTTTCCACTTTGTGTTGATTTTTTGTTGAAGATTTGTTCAAACAATGTAAAAGAAAGCCTTAGAAATTCAACGAATTTATTAGGTTTAATTAAATTTAAGAAATTTGTGTTTGCAATTAGAAATTTTCATTAACTATTACTCCTGAGAAATTTTCATTAGTTATTACTCGACTAAATTCTATGCTATCATAGAAACATTATCTGTGAATTCTATTGGTACCTTTAAAGTTTCATAATAATAAATTGGGAAATAATTTTGCACTCTTTTTATGTGGAAAAATTAGTAATCACTTCTTGGTTTGATCGCTCTATCCGAATTAGCCCTTTTTTTTTATCCTTTTTGATCATGTTCTTGATTCTATGTGAAGACAGGATATGTTCGTTATACCTTGAATGACTCGTTTAGGAATACCAATTTATTGGGTGATTGGAGTATGACGGGAAATACTATAACGAACTCAGGTAGTTTGAATTGTGAGTGTGTGGCCGGGGCACATATTTTGTTTTCGGGCTTGTGCTTTTCTGCAGCTATCTGGCATTAGGGCACTGAGTCCTTAACTCGTTGTCCAATAGGAAAGCTTGATTGGTGTCTACTTTTGTAATATGGTTTATTTAACTAGGCGAGATTAGGCTCAATGAATTTTTAACTATTGATGTTAACTATGTGTCTACTTTTGTAATGTAGTTTAATTAATTAGGTGAGCCAAATCTCACCTAATTAGGTTCACAAATTTTGTAATGTAGTTCACTTGTACATTTTTATGTTGACAATTTTACATCATAATTTGTTGTGGTACTTCTCTAATATGGCGTTCCTATCCTGGTAGGATTAGGAAATAGTGACCGAGAAACATACAATATCCTTGATTTTGGGACATATTATTCTTTTGTGGATATAGAAATGATAACACACATCATTTTTAGTACATATATCCCTGTTTAATTACGTTCGTTATTTTAATTAAAATAAAATGGAGTGTACGAGAAACTGGGAAAAAAAAAAAGTCCACACATCCATGTAATCATATTATTCAAAACTTTTTAAAATAAATTAGAGACTGATATCTGCTTCCGTTCCACAATTTACAATCGGTATGGTGAAAATTACAATTTTTAAAACATTTAATTAAATTTCCCCAACGGGTACATCTAGTAAAATTTGTTAGTACACCGAGCACAAAAGTACATGGGCCATTTGAAAAATATGCTGTGTAAAGTTTTTGTTGGCTTAACCCCTGCTTTACTACAATAACGGAAAATAATTATGCTTATACACTGTAGTTCGAGTTTGATCTTTATTAATTTATTTTCTTTTAACAATTAAGAAGGGAACTGTTATTAGTATTTCAAAAATTTCATTCTACACTTCTCATAAGTATATTTCTTTCTAATTATAGTAAGTTTGGAGTACCAAATGAGATTTTTGAAGTGCTAATAATAATTCTCTTAATAATATAACTTACTAATGCAGTTGTTTATAAAAAAAAAAAAAATCTTCTTATAGAAGTAATAAATTAATCAAATCTACAACTTAGAACTTTTAATAGTTTGTAAAGTTTAGTATGTTTTTCAAAATTCATGTAGGACACGTTGCTTATTTTTGCATCATATCTTAAAAATTCAAGGCAAAATTTAATTGAAAAATGTGACTGAATAAGTGGTAAAACTGTCGTTAAATAATTTGTAACATTTTTTTTTTTGAAAAACCTCAATGGACGAGGTAAATTTATTGATAGGAAAAAAGAAGTTACACCAAGTTAGGAAGGATATAAACCTTACCCCTCATAGAACAAGAAAAACGAAATACAAAGAGAAGAGACATACACCTTATACATTTTGAAAAAGAAAATACAGAAAAAAAGAAAGAAAGGACATGGACCATACCTCTCTTGAAAAAAAAATACAAGAAAAAGATTGGGTTGACAAGACATTTTGAAAACTCATGATTACATTTGCATTTTTGTAAGAATAATATTAGAGATATCAAATTTATAAATCAAATAATATGTTATTAATAAATAAAAAAATATATTAATCGATACTTAATTAATAACTAATTATCTACAACTACACATTTGGTTTGCAACTTTGATTTTAAAAATTTGGTCTTTTGTAGAGTTTTACAAGTAAGATTATAAGAACATATTTTTTTGATATTTTTCGTCGCACGACAACATAGTTTATGAAATAAAATATCTAATCATGTTTTTAACACATTAAAAATCTCTCTGTGAATGGGAAAATTTTTCCATGTGCCGGGAACACCATGACACATGGTATTCCTTCACACATTAGGATTTAGTTTTTTATATTTATTGAAATATAAAATTGAAGGATATTCAAGATGTCAAATCTTGATGTGTGAGGGAACACCATGTGTCATGGTGTTCCCGGCAGTTGGAAAAATTTCTCCTGTGAATGACCAGAAGGCTGAACTTTTCTCTCTGCTCACGTAGACATTTGAAACAAAACGTCGGAATTGAAATTGAAAACCAGCAATCAGCAGCTTCTGGTTTGCTGTTTTTTCAAACAGTGGTCACGAATCACAATCCAAAAGAATCCAAATTTTTCCTACTTTTGTGGTGATTAAGGACATTAAAATAATCAAACCCACTGCCTAAAACCACAGCCTCTCAAAACCGACCACCAAAGCCAAAAGCCAAAGCCAAAAGCTAAAACAGCCAATTACCAAATCAAAAGAGATCAAACTCCACCTTTAAACAATCTTTATAGTAATGGTGTTTTAAATTTAATTTTTGTCAAAGATAAATTTGAAAAAAAATTATTAGGATTAGCTCATTGATAAGTGGTTTTGCTCAAATCCTAATAAATAATTATTGTATTCAAAACCTTAAATTTTTGTGTCTAAAACATAATATTAAGGTCCAGCATTATAAATATTTACTTATGACTGAGATGTTTAAAATCTAAAATTTTTGTAAATAATTACAAGATGCCCATTTATTTTCACCTTTTAATTTAAGTATATAAGAGCATTTCTAATAAAAATACTATGTACATTGAAATGTGTATTTTACATTTTTAGCTAATCGAGAAACTCTCTAATGGCAAGATATAAAATGCACATCTTAAATGGAAAATATAAATATATATATACTTTTTACATCTTTTGTGGGTGAGTCCCGCCCACAAAAACAGAAAGTAAAACCTCCCATTTACATCTCTTATGGGAGTAAAACTCTCATTTACTAATGAGATGAAATATAATTTTTTCATCTCGATTATATATCTTTTTATTGGAGATGCTCTTAACAGTTAATATATTATTACATAAAAAATAAAAAACTTTCAAATATTTTTTAAGTTGAAAAAAGAAAACTTTTAGATGTTTTAATACTAATCATATTACAAAGTCACCCACAGGTTTCAAAACCACCACTAAAACTCCACTCCACCGTGTATATATACAGATACACCACCAAAACAATTCTCTAACGACCACAGTAATAATCATCCCTCTGATCAAACTCTAAACCATCATTTTACAATTATCCATGAACGCTTCTACTCATATCGGCTCAACAAACGGCGCGGCTCCGCTGCCGGTCCTACCCGCCGCCTCCGGCGGAACGCTGGGCGGCTACCTGGCTCGGCGACTTGTCGAAATCGGAGCCCATGATGTCTTTTCCGTTCCCGGCGACTTCAACTTAACGCTTCTCGATCACCTGGTCGCCGAGCCCGGCCTCAACCTCATCGGCTGCTGCAACGAGCTCAACGCCGGTTATGCTGCTGACGGCTACGCACGCGCCAGGGGGGTTGGAGCGTGCGTCGTTACGTTCACTGTCGGCGGGCTCAGTGTGCTGAACGCGATCGCCGGTGCGTGCAGCGAGAACTTGCCGGTCATCTGCATAGTAGGTGGGCCGAACTCCAACGATTACGGCACGAACCGGATCCTCCACCACACGATCGGGTTGCCCGATTTTACTCAGGAGCTTCGGTGCTTCCAAACCGTCACATGTCATCAGGTAAAGCTCGCTTTCAGTCTTGCTAGGAAAAAGAATATTCTTGGTTTAGAAAAATAAAAAAAATTTAGCAATGCCCTTGAACTCGTGCCTTTTTACCGAGTTGCCCCATCTGTTTTTAATTTTAGAGTAAATTGTAGGAATGCTCTCTTAACTAAAAATTCATTACTGCTCATCTTAAATTATGTTATAACTTTGTTTGAATTTTGTCAAAATAAATTATGTTGGAAGGACAATTGCTACAATTGGGATCTCTTAACTCATCTAAACATGTAGCTATGATCATTTTTTGTCAACTTTATCAGAATTTTGTCAAAATGAGTTACGTTGGAATGACTATTGCTACAATTCGGTTAAAGTTAAGGGATTATTGCTCTAATTAAGTTAAAGATAAAGTACCATTTCTTCTGGATTAAAGTTAAAGGGCAATTGATAATAAATTTTTAGTTGATAGACTATAACTGTACGTATGTTTTGATAAATTAAGATACCAATAATAATAAAGTTTTAGTTGAGGGATCATTGCTTCAATTGAGTTAAAATTAAAGGATTATTGCTACAATTTACTCTTAATTTTGTTTTGAGCATCGTACCTAAACTTAAATAGACAAAATTAGGGCTTCTTTGAAAAGTACTTTCACATATCTGAATAGCTTTTAGGGAAAATATTTTTGCAATCAATGCAATATAAGTTAATCTAGAAAAAACATTTCAAATTCTTTTGGAATCCACAAATATTTTTTCTACAAGCTTTTCACTCATAAAAAGTACTTCTCAATGGAGTCCTTATTATTTCCTTTTGACAGAAAATTTGATTAATTGTAGGGGTAAAGTGATACGTTTTGAAATATTAGGGCAAATCAGAATCAGATCTTAAGTTCAGGGGGGCCATGTTAAAAATTTCCCTAATTATAAATATGACCTTTGTGTTTCCAAATATATTGAATTTGGTGCAAATTGTTGTGACAGGCAGTGGTGAACAATTTGGAAGATGCACATGAGCAGATAGACACAGCAATCTCAACAGCATTGAAAGAAAGCAAGCCTGTATACATAAGCATAAGCTGCAACCTGCCTGCAATTCCTCATCCCACATTTTCCAGAGAGCCGGTCCCCTTCTTCCTTGCACCGAAAGTAAGCAACCAATGTGGGTTGGAGGCAGCAGTTGAAGCCACCGCTGCTTTCCTCAACAAGGCTGTGAAACCTGTGATTGTCGGTGGCCCCAAGTTGAGAGTAGCGAAAGCACAGCAGGCCTTTATGGAGTTTGCAGATGCTAGCGGGTACCCGATCACTGTAATGCCCTCTGGTAAGGGTTTGGTGCCCGAGCACCACCCGCATTTCATTGGGACTTATTGGGGTGCTGTGAGCACCACCTTCTGCGGTGAGATTGTGGAGTCTGCTGATGCTTATGTTTTTGTTGGACCCATTTTCAATGATTATAGCTCTGTGGGGTATTCCTTGTTGATCAAGAAGGAGAAAGCGATTGTTGTGCAGCCAAATCGTGTGACAATTGGGGATGGTCCGTCCTTTGGCTGGGTTTTCATGGCGGACTTCTTGAGTGCATTGGCCAAGAAGCTAAAGAAAAACAGTACAGCTGTTGAGAATTACCATCGTATCTTTGTTCCCCATGGCATCCCTCTGAAGAGTGAGAAGGATGAGCCTCTGAGGGTCAATATTCTTTTTAAGCACATTCAGGTAGGAGCAGAGTGTTCTGTTTTGTATGCTTGAGCTGTCTATGTTCTGTTTGTGCTTCTCATATTGAGATTTCTAATTGTTAATTATTTATTTAACTTTTACAGGAGATTATCAGTGGAGACTCTGCGATAATTGCTGAAACTGGAGACTCATGGTTCAATTGTCAGAAGCTCCGACTGCCTGAGAATTGTGGGTATGATGCGGTTTCCTTTAGACAACTCATTTATGTGGTTCTCGAATATGATTAACTTTGCATGTTACGCAACGGACTACCAACCGGTTGTATCATTTTTATTCAGGTATGAATTTCAGATGCAATATGGATCAATTGGATGGTCGGTGGGCGCCACTCTTGGCTATGCTCAGGGTGCCAAAGATAAACGTGTGATCGCTTGCATTGGTGATGGGAGTTTCCAGGTTAGTTATATCAGGATCAAGAGTACCATGGAGCTGGAATGCGACTGTCAAATAAGGACACATGAAAAATAGTAAATGATAAGATTGATAAGAGATGGTTTAAATTAACTAAAGTTTTTCTGCAAAACAGTTTCTTCTTTTGTTTTAATCATTTAAAACGGTAAAAGATAAGAAATTACCATTGCCTTATAATTTTTCCGATCGATAAAGTTTATGTTTTAGAGAGAGATATATGGCGCTTGGTTGGTAAATAGTGTCTCCCTTCAGGTAACCGCACAGGACATTTCGACAATGATCCGATGTGGACAAAACACCATTATATTTCTTATCAACAACGGAGGCTACACAATTGAAGTAGAGATTCACGATGGTCCATACAATGTGATTAAGAACTGGGATTACACCGGCCTTGTCGATGCCATCCACAATGGCGAAGGCAAATGCTGGACTACCAAGGTTAGCATAAAAGAAATAACTTCCCTAATCCTGATAGCTAATCTGATGCAGGGGACGATGATTATTCTTGCTTTGATACAGGTACGTACAGAGGAGGATTTAACAGAAGCAATTGCGAAGGCAACAGGGGAGCACAAGGATAGTCTATGCTTTATTGAAGTGTTTGTGCACAAGGATGACACTAGCAAAGAGCTGCTGGAATGGGGATCCCGAGTTTCGGCCGCCAACAGCCGACCTCCAAATCCTCAGTAAACAGATCGCAGTCGAAAGAATCAAAACGGAAGATCTAAACCGGAGAGTTAGAAAATTTGAAAGCAATGTACTTTGTTGTAAATTTTGCTTGCTGTATTAAATAAGAGCTATTGAAATAATAGAAGCAATGTATTTGCTTGTTGTGTAATGTATTCTCACCCAACCGGAATAATTGCAATAAGTTCTGTGATTTCATTCCATTCTTTATGTTGGGAACCCAAACATGTTTTTTTGTTTGGACGAAGGGAACCTTGACATGTTTGTTCCACTAAACTCTCATTTGGAAGTTTTCTTAAAAAGCTAAAAGCAGTTTTGAGAAAATGTTAGTGGAATCAATTCCCTCTAAAAATGCAACTGAATATTGAAAAAAAAAAAAAAAAACAGTTGAAATGTTTTATTTTTTTTGCGAGAAGTATCAGTCTATGTGCAAACTGATGCTTCTTGCAAGAACGATGAAACACTTAAACAGCATTTGAAAAAAAAAAAAAAAAATTTATCTAAAAGTACTTTCAGTTGTTTTAAAACTATTTTTAAATGAGCTCTAAAATAATGTGGGTCAAGGTTTTTTGCGTCCAAACATCAATTGAATAAATGTGATCACATTTTGTTTACTTTTCAACAGAATGAATAGTGTAGGCAATTTCGTCCAGCCCGATGCTAAATTTAGAACTGTTTTGGTTAAAATCGGAATTTCCGATCGAACTTGCTTTCCTAATCCACACTTAAAATACCATTATTTATGCATAGTAGTTAAATACCCAAAATTTCTTCAATATATTATATGGAATACAAATCATATTATATGAGTGTCTGGACACAAGAATTTCTCTTTCGACTCAGCGAGAGAGATCTATCAATTCTATGGATTCGTCATTTCAAACATATTATTGGATGAATTTCCTCCTCATATCAATTTTCACTTTCTTCCCACATGCCTTTGGCTGCTTCAATTCAATTTTCAGCTTTGGCGATTCACTTGCTGATACCTGAAACTTGTACATCAGCTCCCATGACAAGCATTTCCACTTCTTCTTCCCTCCATACAGGGAGACCTACTTTCACCACCTCGGACGCTGCTCCGAAGGCCGCTTAATCATCGACTTCATTGGTATAGTTAAGCATCATCCGCTGATCATATCTTAAAACTACAACCACCACACAAGTATCTGATTTTTTATCAGCTTCTGATTTCGCTTTATCTTTGCAGCTCAATCCCTCGGACTTCTGCTGGTTTGATCTTATCTCGAAAGCAAGAACAATGTGCATCTATTTTAGTTACGACTCAATCTTAGCTTTGTCAATAGGCCCTTAACAACGCATAGTTTCCAAATGCTGAAGCTGAACCTGTTTACGATTAAACGCAATGTGGTACTCCGCAGGCGAGTGCTTGTGAAAACCCAGCAGAGTTTATCAATTGGGATGGTATCCACTTTACTGAAGCAGCGTACCGGTGGCTAGCCAATGCGTTATTAAAAGGAAAATACGCCATACCTCGCGTAAGTTCCTCGTGTGTTTCACAATTGTAACATGTCGGTGTCACCCGTAAACCTGTGGTTATACTTATTCCAGCAATTAACTTCTACTCAACTCACAAAAAATTTCGGAGTTTTATTATTATTTCTTCAGGTATTTGTCGATTTTTCTTCAGAACTTGTAATGAGTAGCTAAATTTTTTTCATTAAATTTACTTTCGGTCAATTACCCTCTCGAACTTTAATGAGGCCACTTTCCTCGTAAACTTTAGTTTTAGCCCCTTTGAGCTTTTTATAAATTCTCCATTTGACGTTAGATTTTGGAAATTTTCAACCAATTTTTCATCCATCTTAGTTACGTGCACAACACATAGCAATTGTCTGAGGATAGTGGACAACATATTGTTTTTAATTTTGCTTCTTCTTCTCATTCGCTAGTTCACTCCATACACTTTTTGTTTGAATTTTATCACTAACGTGGACAACTACGAATCTTTTTCAAGGTCTTGCTTTTTCAGCAACATGTTGGGGTTGTTATGTATGCCATTTCATTAGCCTTTTGTGTGACTTAATTCACATGACCATCTCGGTTCACCTATGTCAATTGAAGACTTAAATTCAAATAAGAAAAGTAGTTACTCATCTCAACAAATTCATGAATAGAAACTGGCCAATTATAAATATTCAAGGGGTAATCGATTAAAATTAAAGTTTAGAAGGAAATATGGTTAATGATAAAAGTTCAGAGGAATAATTGACTAAAATTAAAATTTGGAAAAAATTTGCCAATAATGAAAATTTAAGAAATAATTGGTTAAATTAAAGTGTAGGAGACCAGAGGAAGATGATCCTCTCCGGATCCACTTTATGGGTATCTTATCCCCACATTCTAGTCGTTCATCCTACATCGTACGACCAATTTTCATCAGGTACTATTTGTATTTAATTTTAAATAAAAAAGTCAAATAATTTCCGACCACATGATACATGATGAATGGCTAAGATGTAAGAATCCCTATGATCCTCACAAAATGAAGAGATTTTTCAATGTGACCGGTACACAGGTGGGATACCACATGTTATTATACAAATAATAAAATGTGTTAAAAAATTAATAACTTAAAAAATAAAAATTTTCACCACTTATGTAAAAAACATGTAGTATACCATCCGTATTCCCATCACAATGAAAATTTTCTCCACACAATAAATTCGGTGGGGTTCCAATTTCTTATGTAGAAACCATGCTTGTGGGTAGATTCAGGTCATGACCGTACCTAACAGTACCTAACTTACTGTTTGACTGTTGGTTTAAATAATGTCACGTGCTATATTTCTGCCTCAGTGTCTATATGTAATACTGTTTTGATAGATGGAAGTCAAGCTTAAGAAGCTACTTGAGAGAGAGAGGGAGAGAGAGAGAGAGAGAGAGAGAGAATTTTGATGACGCTCCTCCTCCTCCTCATGATGTCAGTTGTCACATTCATCCCTCAAGCTCTAGGTTGCTACAGCTCAATCATCAGCTTCGGCGATTCAATTGCCGATACGGGCAACTTGTACAACAGCTCTCCTAACAAATCTTTGGACTTTTTCTTCCCCCCATATGGAGAGACCTACTTTCACCGCCCGGTCGGACGCTGCTCCGACGGTCGTTTAATCATAGACTTCATTGGTAGCTAGCGACATTAAACCCTCAACCACTTTTCATCACCAGCATCTCATTGAACTTGATTTTTACTTTCATTTTTTTTTTTGGCAGCTGAATATATGGGACTACCACTAGTGCAACCTTACCTCGAAAGCCATAACCAAACTGTCCACAACATTGAAGGTGGTGTGAATTTTGCAGTGGTAGGATCCACTGCGCTGGACACTGCTTTTCTTGAAGAAATGGGAGTTTATAATGACATTACAAACAACTCTCTAAGAATTCAACTGGACTGGTTCCAAGAAATGCTGTCATTTTTATGCAACACATCTTCAGGTCAGTTACCAATTTGTCTTCTCATTTTTTCTTTTCTTTTTTTATTTTTTTACTTGAGAGTGTTACTTGTCTTGAACCAAAAAGACATTGTTTCTTGTCCCCATTTGCTTGTGTGGTTGGCGGTCAATGCCACATAAATAACAACTTTAATATTTGAACATTTTTTTCGGTGCATAACTTTAAAAATTGAACTTGGTCGGCTTTTAATGTTTGAATAGAATAAATAAGGAGTATTACTAAGAGTTAGTTTGAGAAGTGTTTTTAAATGATTGAAGAAATTTTTAGAAAAAAAAAAAGTTTCTGAGTTCCAAAAACACTTGAAGTGATTCTTGCAAAAAGCGCTTGAAGTTATTTTTCAGGATTAACTTGCATTTTTGCTAAGAATTAATTCAAAAAATATTTGCTTTAAAAGCGTTTTGAGTTCTTTAAAAACACTTCTCAAATGAGTCCTAAATAGACTACAAAAGAGGCCTTAATTCGTGGTTTGTATTAGACTTGTTCTCTATTTACCAGAGTTCTGTTTTTTTTTTAATTTAAATTAGGTCAACTGTGCTTTATTATTGCATATTTTCCAATGTATAAGTTATAAGCATATCATCTATAATAGTTCTTCATTTGGAACAAGTGATTAGTGATCTCTAATTTACAGACTGCAACAAACTGCTTTCGAGCTCTTTAGTTCTTATGGGAGAGATCGGAGGCAACGATTACAACAACGCATTGCTTGGAGGAAAAAGTATAGAAAAGGTTGAGAAATATGTTCCATTGGTGATAGAAGCAATAGCTTCAACAATCAATGTAAGAGTTGGAATCATAATTTCTTTGCTCTAAATGCAGTCTTTTTTATAATCTTGTTGGCTATGAATTTCTATGGCTGTATTGCTCTCCAGGAGTTGATTGCTTTTGGCGCCTCAACACTTGTTGTACCCGGAAACTTTCCAATTGGCTGCATTCCTGCTTATCTAACAACATATGAAACTTCAGATGAGAGTGAATACGACCCTTTAACTGGCTGTCTAAACTGGCTGAACAAGTTTTCCGAGTATCACAATGAGCTGCTCCAGAGAGAACTTAGTCGGATTCGAATCCTTCATCCTTATGTCAATATCATTTACGCAGATTACTACAATGCCATGCTGCAACTGTACCAGTCTCCAGACCAATTTGGTACTTCAACTCCCTTAATATTGCAAAATTTTTACAATGCGTTTTAGTAAATGTGAGGATTTTTTGAGAGTTTTAAAATGTATTAGTTAACTAAATGTTTACCAAACTGGTCGTCAAGAATTCAAACATAGTAAGATTTTAGTCAAACCCTAAATTATTATTGGATTCATGGAAATGAAGGATTTACTGGGGAAACTACCAAAGCATGCTGTGGAGGTGGGGGGCCGTACAATTACAACTCATCGGCACTATGTGGCAGTCCAGAGGCAAATGTACTTTGTGAAAACCCTGCACAGTTTATCAGCTGGGATGGTGTGCATTCAACTGAAGCAGCATACCGGTGGATAGCCAAGGGTTTATTAAACGGGAATTACACCGTTCCGCAAATTAGTACCTTATGTGTTTCACAACTGTGACTTCATCTATAGTTTTATTGCAATCATGCCCTTTTATCACGCCCCTCAACATTATGGTAAGTTCTATATATTACTTTTTTTTTTTTTTTTTTGTTCAAAAAATCATTCATTGAAATTATTATTGACTTGAATCAAAATTACAATATTTAGTTTTTTTATATATTGTATTAAATATCGTAATTTTTTTTTAATTGATTTTTTACAGGATTCAAAAGCGGGCCTCTAAGGGCATGCTGCGGAGGAGGAGAACCATACAATTTCAATAATTCAGCAAGGTGCGGACACATCGGATCAACAGCCTGTAAAGATCCTTCTTCCTGTGTAAACTGGGATGGAATTCACTTAACAGAAGCTACTTATCGCTACATTGCCAAGGGCTTGATCCATGGCAATTTACCAAGACCATTTAGCTTATATATGATTAGTTACTTCCATTTATCGTATAATTATTGCTGGTTTGATAAATAAACAAGATATTTGAATTTGAGATCTCTTCTAAAAATTAAAGAAGGATTTGATCCATGGATATAGTCTTCTCAAGCCTATACACGATTAGCCGTAGCTTCGCCTTTATCGGGTATAATTATTTATTTTTTATTAATGGAACGGGAGACAATGGTTTTGAACTTGATCGCTCTTCTAACATAAAAACACGAATATCCATAGCCATTTTACCGCACACCTACAGGCTTTATTCGTTCAGTGCATGTGCGCACTTCACCATGCTTATACGATTATTTACATCATTTTTATCATATGATTATTATTGGTTTAATGAACGGAAAATGGATGTGAGGTTTCATGAAATCTCTTTCAACATTAAAATATTCGTACGAACAAAGTAAACTAAGCTTGATCCATGGCCGTTTACGACACCCCTCTAGCTTATACAATGGTCAATTATTTAGACAATTACAATTGCTACATTGTCAACGTTCAATTTATTTGTCGATAACACGTTTGGCTAAACAAGTTTGTGGAGTGTCACAATGAGCAGCTTCAGATATAACTAAGTTGGAACCGAAACCTTCATCCTCATGCTAACATCATTTATGCAGATTATTACAATGCTACGATGCACTTATATCATTCTCCAGAACATTTGGTACTTCAACTCCTCAATATTTCTATCCAAGTATTTTGCATATTTTTCGTTAAAAGATGAAGATTCAAGATTCTAATCGAATTGGTAATTAAAAACTCACAAACTGAAACTTCATGTGCATATCTTTTAGTCCTTACTCACACATAGCAACCCTTTGAATAGCTTGTGGATTTTTAGTGTAATTCTATTTCTACCCAGAAGATTAGGCATATATTTGAAGCGTTAACAATGCCTATATATAGCTTCCCAAATGCTGAAGCGGGCGAACCTGTTTACGATAAGAAAATTTGGATTCGTTTTGATTGCAGGATTTATCGGGGGAACTCCGAAAGTGTGCTGTGGAGGAGGAGGGGCATACAATTACAGCTCATGGATCGGGACAATGCGGTACTCCACAGGCAAGCGTTGTGAAAACCCTGCAGACTTTATCAATTGAGATGGTATCCACTTTACTGAAGCACCATACCGTTGGCTAGCCAATGCGTTACTAAAAGGAAAATACGTCATTCCTCGCAGTGGTGTTGAAACTTTGACAAGGAAGAGAAGAAGAAAAAATACAAACTTTCCCTTCATTTTATGATTGTTGGTGTTTTTTTGTAACTAAACCGGCTTTATGTTTAGAGTCAGGCTTGTTTTCAACTCCACAGACAAGTTCTTGTTGCACTCTTTACAGTTCTGCGCTCTCTCTCTCATCTATTTTGTTCTATTAAGAGAAGTGGGAGGAGGGTTTGTCAACTTTTTGCTCCTTTTTTTTCAATTTTACCCTCACTTTTGAATTCACAATGTTGACATGAGGAGGGCAAAATAGTATTTTTGTATCTTTTGAACTTTTTCCTTTTTTTTCCTATTTTGTCCTCACTTTTAATACATAATATTTACATAAAAAGGGCAAAATAGTAATTTTACATCGAAACATTTACATAAGATAAAAAAATATGCACTTATTAAGAAAAATTGTCTCACCATCATTTTTTCATACACGTAAATGAAATCATAATATTTTTTGGATGGTTTGAATGAACTGAAACAATTACGCTTTAGGAGAACGTAGAAGAAGATGAACGATTGTTCACACACACAGAATGTGTGCTCATCTGCTAATATATATAAAAAGAAAGCCCTTGGTTGAAGATATTTTCCACCACTCTTCTTTCACAGGCCTCTTGGCCTCTTACACACCAAGTATTTGTCTTGATATTTTATAATATTAAAACAACAATTTTTTTTAACAAACAATATTATATATATTAAAAAGAAATTAAAACAACAACTTTAACATTTATATTTCAATAAGAGAATTGTTATTAGTATTCCAAAAATCGCATTTTACACTCCAAATTTTCTATATTAAGAAAGAAAAACACACATTTAAAAATTGTAAAATGAAATTTTAAAATATCATTAACACTTCCCTTCAACAATTAGTTCTTCGTGTTTCACAATTGTGATATGTCAGTGTCACCTGTAAACCTGTGGTTATAGTCATTCTAGCAATCAACGTCAACACACAACTGGCAAAAAATTTCGGAGTTTTATTATGAGGTGCGTTAGCTACACATTCATTTTTACTTCTCGTATACTTCCTTAATTTTCAGTTATCAATTACCAATTTTTACTTCTAATATACTCATTCTAGCAATCAAAGTCAAGCTTAAGAAGCTACGAGAGAGAGAGAGAGAGAGAGAGAGAGAGAGATGAACTCGTGATGCATGGGTTCGGAATTTGAAGCAATTTTGATGACGCTCCTCCTCCTCCTCATGATGTCAGTTGTCACATTCATCCCTCAAGCTCTAGGTTGCTACAGCTCAATCATCAGCTTCGGCGATTCAGTTTCCGATACAGGCAACTTGTACAACAGCTCCCCTAACAAATCTTTCAACTTTTTCTTCCCTCCTTATGGAGAGACCTACTTTCACCATCCCACCGGACGCTGCTCCGACGGCCGTTTAGTCATAGACTTCATTGGTAGCTAGCGACGCTAAACCCTAAACCATTTTTCATCACCAGCTTCTGATTGAACTTGATTTTTACTTGATTTCTTTTTTTGGCAGCTGAATCTATGGGACTTCCACTAGTACAACCTTACCTCGAAAGCCATAACCAAACTGCCGACAACATTGAAGGTGGTGTGAATTTTGCAGTAGTAGGAGCCGCTGCGCTGGACACTGCCTTTCTTGAAGAAATGGCTGTATATAATGAAATTACAAACGACTCTCTAAGAATTCAACTGGACTGGTTCCAAGAAATGCTGTCACTTTTATGCAACACATCTTCAGGTCAGTTACCAATTTTTCTCCTCATTTTTTCTCATTTTTTTTTGTTTTTACTTGAGAGTGTTACTTGTCTTGCACCAAAAAAGTCATTAATGGTTTCTTGTCCCCATTTGCTTGTGTGGTTGGCCAATTTCAATGCCACAAAAATAACAACATTAATAATTTAACTTATCTTTTGGGAAATAATAATTGAACTTGGTGGACCTGAATGCATGCAAAGGCTTATGGGAAATATAAGGTTGGACTAACGATAACTGCATAAATTACAAATGCAGTATTGAGAGTATAAAAGTCAAAGTAACATGTAGAAACCAAAACGTTAAAAACATGATATACATTTTTCAAAGACAAAAAATGCTGCAAAGAGAAAAAATGTGGTCTGCGGAAAATCTGAAAATGAGAAAACTCGAATTTGATAAAACTGTATGTTAAGAAAGCTATTAAATTTGCAGTCAAAACAAAATTAATACAGTTTTTGGAAAATAAACTCCATGACTGATTTATTCAACCAAACTGAGTTTATTTGACTATAATGAATATCATCTTTGATTAATAATTTAATATCATCTGTGAGAAAACAATTTGATTTCTACACATCAATAACCCCAAATCTAATTAAAACAATTTGATAAATATCAGTATTGAACAAATTAATATCATCTGTTTATTAGCTATAGTATTTGAATGAGAAAATTCATGTATGATTTTATATCAATCAGTGAAAGCATACATGGAAGAATTGTATAGCTAGAGTGGACAACCTACGATTTTTGAAATACAGAGTAGGATAATTTGCTATATGGAGATCCGACAACAGAACCAACTTATAAATATTCTAAACTCTCATCCAAAATTCAAACTGTCTGCAATTCTATACAAAAATATAAACTTGTATGACAACTACTACAATTTGAAGTAAAATTTAACCTATGCAATAGTCGAATTTAATAACTAACAACAATATTAATATTCTCAAGAGAGAAAAAAAAAGCACAAAAAATGAAACCCCATATAAAAAATTGAAGACTTTGTACAGAAACATAGCAGCTTTACCTTTCTTCAAGAACTGCAATCGAAATTGCAGCAGTTGCGTTTTTTGGTGGTGGGAGTCATTTCACTGTGCAAGAGTTCCCTGAAATTTTACCAAAATCTTAGTAAGATGAATAGATAAAATAGTAATCACATAACTCAAATTTAAAGCATAGTTTTGTAGCTCCTAAATTTTTTCTAAAGAATGCCAACACTCTTGCCTATCTCAGATGGTTGTAACTGATGAGTCCAAATCTCATTGAATCAAGTCTATTCTCTTAAACCAAACATGAAATTGTTTCATGATATGCAACCAATATGATTTACAACTAATAAAAAATTAGTTAACTCGCAATCAAATATAAACCCAAATCAATTTAAACCTACCAAGCAAAATAGAAGAAACCCTAGATAAACAATCAATCAAACATGATTGAATAAGATTTAGCTGCTTCAAAATTTTCACATTATACCCAATTATAAAGCACAAAATCCTACCCAAAAACGAAAACAGAGATAAAAACGAAGCAAAAATCGAACAAAAAGGGATGGGTACCTCTGTTTTTGACTCGAGATCTCTGCGTGCTTTGAATTTCTGCATACAAAATATACAACTTCTATAACTAATTGGCAATATTGCTATCAGCTGATTTCCTTTGCGAATAAATTAATAAAAACTAAAATTTAAAAATAAAAAATAAAAAAAAAGGAATTTTTCGTACCTTTATGTTTCTGGGTGTTTACTGTGAATTCAATTGAGAACTAAGAGCGCAAACTGCGAGAGGAGAAGACGAAGATGGAGGAAGCATGGGTTTGTTTAGGCGATGAATGGGAAAAGCACGTCAATTTCCCAAAAAAAGGAAATCTAATGATCAAATTCAAGAAATATTCAATCTCACAACAATTTTAAGCCAATCAGTTACGCAGCCAAATCAAATTCTATGAAATTTTAGCAAAATACAACCCAAAAGAACACAAATGGACCATTAAAAAAAACAAAATATCAACAACCAAATTCGGTAAAGTAACAAACCACAGCGAAAAATCAAATATTTAGCTTCTGGGTAGTTGAGAAGAAGTCAGATTTAATTACCTGTTGAAGGCTAGAGAAATTGGGTGCATGATGAGGGGGCGAGAAGAACGTGAAGCAGATCGAAGGGATCACGAAGCAGATATGGAAGATATCGAGGCAGAGTATGGGGATCAAAATCGCCAACCCGTTGCAAAGCAACTGAAAATTCTGTCGTTCTAGGCTTTTAGGGCCTGTTTGGGATTGAGGTGCTTAAAAAAAAAGCTCCTATGAAAAAAAGCTATGAAAATTTTTGGTGTTTGGTAAACTTTAAAAAACAGCTTTTTTTCAAAGTTGAGGGTGAAAAAAAGCCCAAAACCAAGAGATGACAAGAAGCTGCAATTTGTAGCTTCCAAAAGCAGCTTATTTTCACCCACACACGGGTGAACAGTGTCCAGGTTTAATGAAATATACCGACCTTTCTCCAGAACTCTCTCGCACGTCAAAACTACAACCTAGACCCCGATCTAGGTATCAAAATGAAGCACTAGCCAAGAGGAGTAGTTTTATACCTTGGGTTCGCCGTGAAACGGCTTGTGGTGGCCGGAAAATCCCTCGGAAAACACGCACTCGCCGGAAAATTGGGTGTACCTCCACCCTTGCCAAAAACACTCCAAAACCTTGAAAATTCATGAACCCAACTCAGTAACTACATTTAACCAACATCTAACAAGACTAAGAAGGGAGAAACCATGCCTACCCAACCGGAAAACAAGCTAAAATTCGCCGGAGATGCTCGGCGTACTCCGGCACCGCGAGCAGGGGAGAGAGAAAGAGAGAGAGAGAAGCAGTTCAACGGCGATGATGGTGACTCTCCCTGAGTTGTGCGACTGTGGGTATTTGTGTGTGTGTGTGTGTGTTGTCACGGGGAAGAAGAAGAGAGAAAGGGAGGAGTTTTCGAAAAGAAAGGAAAAAGAAAGATGCAGACAAACCAAAACAAAAGAAAAGAAAAGAAAAGAAAAAGAAGAAGGAGAAGAAGAAAAAGGTGTCACGGAAGGGAGAAATTTTTAGGTGTGCCGGGAACAACATGCCACGTGGTTTGTCATACTAATTAATATTTAAGATAAAGTTTATAAATATTTTTCTTCTAAAAATAAAATATATTTAGTAATTCACTTTTATTTGTTAAGAAAATTAAATTAATAACACATCTAGTAATATACCCTTTTTGGTCATTTCACACAGTCACAGCTGTTTTACAAAAAAGTTTACCAAACACTATGATACTGCTTTTTGTTTCCAAAAGCACTTTTACAAAAAAGTTTACCAAACACTTTGCTGGCTTTATTTCACAGCCGCTTATTCTCACAGCACAGCCACTTATTCTCACAGCAGCTTTTTTTCAAAGCACAGCAATACCAAACCAGCCCTTAGTGTTTTCGGCAGAAGCCGAGAGGTTTCTATTGGACACCAGGGTCAATGCCGTCCTTTTAATGTGGAATATACAAAAAAAAGCTAGACTTGAAGAGCAGCTGAAGGGCAAAAGAGGAAGAACACTGTGGAAGTAACACTACCACGTTTTTCTCTTTTACTATATATATAATTTCCCAGTGTATAAGTCCTATGTACATCATCTATAACAGCCTTTCATCTTGTACAAGTGATTAGTAATCTGTAATTTACAGACTGCAACAAACTGCTTTCGGGCTCTAGTTCTGATGGGAGAGATCGGAGGCAACGATTACTACAATGCATTGTTTTCAGGAAAAAGTACAGAACAGGTGGAAAAATATGTCCCATTTGTGATAGAAGCAATAGCTTCAGCAATCAATGTAAGAGTTGGAATCATAATTTCTTTGCTCAAAAGGCAGTTTTTTTTTATAATGTTTTGGCTATGAACCTCAGTGGCTGCATTGCTCTGCAGGAGTTAATTGCGCTTGGGGCCTCAACACTTCTTGTACCGGGCGTCTTTCCATTTGGATGCGTTCCTGCTTTTCTAACAAGATATCAAACTTCAGATGAGGATGAATACGACCCTTCGACTGGCTGTCTAAACTGGTTGAACAAGTTTACCGAGTATCACAACAAGCTGCTCCAGATAGAATTAAGGCGGATTCAAAGCCTTCATCCTCATGTCAATATCATTTACGCAGATTACTACAATGCCATGCTAGAACTGCATCAGTCTCCAGACCAATTTGGTACTTCAACTCTCTTAATATTGCAAAATAGTTTACAATGCATGTTAATAAATGTGAGGATTTTTCGACAGTTCTAAAATGTATTAGTTAACGAAATGGTTACCAAACTTGCCGTCAAGAATTTAGACATTGTCAGATTTTAGTCAAACCCCAAATTATTATTGGATTCGTGGAAATGCAGGATTTACTGGGGAAACTACCAAAGCATGCTGTGGAGGAGGAGGGCCATACAATTACAACTCATCAGCACTATGTGGCACTCCAGAGGCAAATGTACTTTGTGAGAACCCTGCACAGTTTATTAGCTGGGATGGTCTGCATTCAACTGAAGCAGCATACCGGTGGATAGCCAAGGGTTTATTAAACGGAAATTACACCGTTCCTCAAATTAGTGCCTTGTGTGTTTCACAACTGTGACTTCATTTAGATCTTCATCATCAGTACGAAAACTTTCTTCAATATTTTTCACAGCTCGTGAATGAAATGAAACCTAAAACGAACGGCTAGGATTGAAAGATAGAGTAAATGAATTGACTTTACAAGTTGGAATTATGAATGCTTTAGATTAATTCCAGTGGGTTTCAACTTTCAACGAAAAATATAAAGGTGTGGATGAGCCCGGATTGATTGCCTTGAAGAGTGACCAAGAAGGCGTGATGTGTACCTAATGCTAGAATAGAGCAGCGTTGAAGGTTTTGGGTTGATGGTTTGATCGCGCGGGTTGGGTTCTGATTCAAATGTTCAAACTCATCTTTTTTTCAAATATCTGTGCTATGTAGTATGTATTCTGAGATTATGGCTGTGAGGCGGCATATATGGCGGGGCCGCGGAGGTGGAGTGACAGGTTGGGGAAGAAGGGAAAAGATCTTAGATTTAGAGACTATTATCGTTGCTCCTCTCGAGTTTGGTAGCGCAAATTTGTAACTAAACAGAATATTAAGGTAATTATTGCATGATGTCATTGAGTTTGATACTGTACCAACATGGCAGACCCTACCTACAATGGATAGGTGGCTAATAAACATTTGATATTGAAAACAATTGTAGGTATTATAGTGGAATTGGTTGCAAATATTATTCAAAACAAAGCAAACCCAAATTCAAGTTGAATATTGGGTGCAATTTCAGATTTAAAGTTTTTGACGATAAGAGAGATAAATATGAGGAGTATCGATGTTTGTTTTTCGTAGTTGGTGACTCTGGAGGTGTCGAAATGCAGCAGTGTTACAAGGGGAGACTAGTCCTCCTATTGAGGCAACTGGCATGATGAATAAGTAATGGAGAGAGTGGATGGAGGTGCAGCAACCGGAAAGGGATGTCGAGCAGCCGAGTGGGTCCAGGACGCGGAAGGGAGGTGGAATCCCGGTGGATGAAGCCCGAGTTTGGCCCATTGAAGGTTAATTGTGATGGGGCTTAGCAGGCAGCGACGGGTGGAGTAGGATGGGTGGTAAGGAACCTCGCAGGTTGGTTTCAAATGGGGGCGGAGGGCGTAGAGGGGTGGTGGTTGTGTCTAGCTTGGCATTGGAGGCAGAGGCAGTGAGGGAGGCGTTGTCAGCTTATGCTGAAGAGGGCTGCAATAGGGTGATAATAGAATCTGATTCAAGCAATTTGATTTCCTTACTTAAGGGTGAGAAGGATACTGATATTATGATTGATAGCATAATATTTGATATATGACAACTGACTATGCAAATGGAGTCCGTTGAGTTCTCATATGTGACTCGGCGTCGGCGATGCAACTTATCTAGAACTTGCCTAGTAACCTTATTCAAAATATTACATAAGAAATATGAGTATATTTTAAACAGGTACCTTTTGTTTAACAAATGATATTATTTATATTAAGAGGGTGAGGGAGTAGACGAAGTCTTATAATGAGTTAGCAATAATATGGTTCAAAATCATCTTTGACGAGAATCGAATCTAAAACCTCTTACTTTCAAATAAAGATGAATACCACTATACCATAATACTAAATGGTTTAAACATATACTTCTAAAATACGAACTTTTAATTACAGTTTTCTTCTTTCGGAAATTTCCATTTACATGCAATTGGCAAAAGACCAAATGCCTTTCAACTTAAAACGCTTGTAACTTATTCATTCTAACTCCTAATTAGAAATTGTTTGTGCCTACACGCATGTGGAATTGAACTTTGTTGATGCAAAAACTGGATTAACCTTGAATCAACTTAAATCTGACTATATATCACACAAATTCACAACAACACAAGATTTATCATGGCTCACCCCGAATTGCCAAACTTTGGGATGCCTAACAATCTGACATAGCTTGTATAAAACTAATAGTGAGCTACAATCAACATTAGGACATTTTTTATGTTTCGAACTCATGTTAACTTGTAATTGTATTCTACTGAAAGTTTCTTCAAATTCCTGGACAACATTGCAGCAAAAGATTTAAATCTCATTGAAACTCAAACAAGTCAAACTAATGCAATAATCAAATCAATCTCATAGAAACTTAGCCTTCGCAATATAACCTTAAAATCATTGCATTGCAGCACTTCATTCAATCTAATAAATATCTGACTTAATTTTCTCACAGTATTCTTAAACGAATAACCCAATTCTTTTTTTGCCCCGCGCAGTGTCTTACTCTTGCATCAGAGATTTTTCCGATCACCGACTTTCTCAACCATAAACTTTTGAGAGTGAATCACACGTCATAGAAATGATGGACATTGCATGTGCTTATAAGAGATTGGGCTATTTCCCGTATAGTTAATTGATTTTATAGTGGAACCTCAACTCTCTTCATAGTATCAGAGTCAAGTCATTTGTGACTACTGCTTTGTTTTTGTTATGTTTTTTTTTTTTTTTTTTGTCAAACGATAGATTTTGTTAGATTAGATGTTATATTAGTCATTGACAAGATTTGAACCCATGTCGTCATATAAGGACTCAACATTTTTCCATCAATGTGGTAAATGGCTGCTACTTGGACTGTTTTGTTTTTAATTAACTCTTTTTTCTCCCACAATATATCAAATAATTTGGCCCTTAATTTATGGAATATTTCTAAATTTTGTGCGATCGAAGGTTAAATCAACTCCTACGAATGGCTGAAATTTAGGCAAGCACATGCACCTAAACTTTTATGTTAATTGGTTAACTATTTTCTTTTTTTGTTTATTGTTTTTTTATTTTTATTCTTCTTTAAAGAAATTAGTTGTTTTCATTGGGAGTTAATAATGGGAGGTGCTATCCACACATCCATTTTTACCTCTCACGTATTCCTTAATTTCCGGCTATGGGATCAAATGATTTGAAAAATATCAATGAACCAAAATGAACAAGGGTATGAAGAAAGTAAAAAGATGTGTGTGAAAATCATTATCCTTAATCATAACCTTCAAGTCGCCATAATCGATCGTAGATACCAAACTTAATTACATGACGTTGAAATATTGTTTGATGCCACTGTTTTGGAGGTGGTAGTTCCCGAACTGTCGAAACGTGTGGTTCAATAAGCAAATAAAGGGGCATCAATATATAGAATTCCTCTCACAGACATGTAATTTGAACTTGAAGGCTCAATAAGCAAATAAAGGGGCATCAACAGATGGCATTACTCTCGTAGACTTGCGGTTGGAAGGCTTGCTGCAGCTGCCTCCTCACGCAGACTCACAGTTGCAAGCTGCAGTTGTAGAGACTTGTTGGTTTCTGAAGTTAAACATGGTGACAGGATATTTGTGTTATTGTGTGTTACACGTGGTAGCAGCACTGATTTCATGCCTTAATCATATTATTTTTTTTAAATGAAGATTAATTGTGGAATATGCTCAACATCGAAATTCGATGATTCCAACCATTATTTTGTAAGTCTCGAATTCATTGATTATCCTTACAAAAAGTTAATTCAATCCAAAACCATTTGTCTACTTAATTATCACGATGAAATTTCATTGTTTATTATTGTTGACCCTAAAAATTACAAAGCCTAAGTGGCGCGCAAGTCGAGTAACTAATGAGCTAACTACGTCCTTCAATTGTATGCGGGGCGTGCCAACTCATCGGTCGAGAAGTAAAATTTATTGATGCTGCGCTGAGCGCGTTGCTGACTTCTTGATCTTGCGACTGCGGTCGAGGAAGGAACACGTCTCGACCTTCGGGTTCTAGAGCCTGAAGACAAGGCTGCTAGTTCTGCGAAGTTCAATATCAAATTCAGCTCTCAGGGTGCCAAATGTAGTAACCTGGTAACACCTCACTTCACCGAGAAGACTAATGAGATGACCTCTGCCAATAAGGATTCGAAAATCCTTCTCGACCAAGACTTGGATAGATAACCAGTCGACCTTGACGCAATGCTAGTTATCCAAACTGAAGGTGCTCCGGGAACGGCTGATTCTACGGTAACAGTGTTGTTTATCCAAATTGAAGATGTCACCGGTTGCCTTCACAGTGCTGTTTATCCAAACTGAAGGTGTGTTGGTGAAAAAAAAAAAAAAAAATCTCAAGATGTTTGAGAGGTTTGCGCAAGCAGTTGTGTGTTGATTTTGGAGATGCTCTTTTGATGCACAGTGCCTCTGTATTTATAATGCTGCTCTCGCTGATGGCCAAGCCGTAAATCACTGAGTTTCCTAATGTGTCACGACTACTAGAAAATAATATTTTAAACTTCTGATATATCACGACTACCAAGCTGAAGCAATCCCTGAGTCTTCATATGCCACAAATCTTCAATATTCAAATACACCACATCTGACGAAACAATGATGGCTTTATCCCATCATCATGTGATTAATGGTCAAGAAATTACCACATCCTTATCTTCTGATAATTAGCTTTTCCATCATGTCCATCGGCTGAAGCCTACTCTCCTTTTTTTTTTTTTTTTTTTTTTTTTATCTAAACATAACCATCCTAATCACATCACATCATCATCTCACAATTTCACCTTTATCCCATGCATGCATGCATCCTGATCAAATGAATTTCAAATTCATTTTTAGCTTCCAGGCTGAGTAACTAATGAGCTAACTACGTCCTTCAATTGTATGCGGGGCGTGCCAACTTGTCGGCTGAGGAGTAAAATTTGTTGATGTTGCGTTGATCGCGTTGCTAACTTCTTGATCTTGCGACTACAGCCAAGGAAGGAACACATCTCGGCCTTCGGGTTCTAGACCCTTAAGAAAAGGCTAGTTCTGCAAAGTTCAATATCAAATTCGGCTCTCAGGGTGCCGAATGTAGTAACCTAGTAACAATTTACTTAGCCGAGAAGGCTAATGAGATGACCTCTGCCAATAAGGATTCGAAAATCTTTCTCGACCGAGACTTGGATTGATAACCAGTCGACCTCGACGCAGTGCTGTTTATCTAAACTGAGGGTGCTCTGGGAACGGCTGATTCTACGTTAACAGTGCTATTTATCCAAACTGAAGGTGCTCTGGGAACGGCTGATTCTACGTTAACAGTGCTATTTATCCAAACTGAAGA